ATAAATCATATTAATTCTGAATTTGGCATTTGTGCGTCATTTTGCTGAAGCTTATATAGCAAAAAAAAAAATCCTTCTTTAGCAGAAAAGTATACATAGTGTTGCACCTGCATCCAGCACAGATAAAGGTAACCTCACACACAATCCACATCCTGTGCACCAGGGCTCACCCTCATTTTCTCCCTGCTTCCCAATCCAATAAATCATATTAATTCTGAATTTGGCATTTGTGCGTCATTTTGCTGAAGCTTATATAGCAAAAAAAAAAATCCTTCTTTAGCAGAAAAGTATACATAGTGTTGCACCTGCATCCAGCACAGATAAAGGTAACCTCACACACAATCCACATCCTGTGCACCAGGGCTCACCCTCATTTTCTCCCTGCTTCCCAATCCATTGCCAGCTCATCATCCAACAATCCACATCCTGTGCACCAGGGCTCACCCTCATTTTCTCCCTGCTTTCCAATCCGTTGCCAGCTTGGCTCATCATCCATACTGTACCACACTGCTCTTCCTACATCTGAAATTTAGAATTTTCAGTAAAGGGCTGTAGTTCCTTAGAGATGAGTGTGTGTGTGCCAAAAGTGGAGCACTTGCTACAGAAAGATCAAAATATCAGACTCATTGGCTGAAACACCCATTTGCTTCAGGGCACATTTCTGTGAAAATTTACTACCATTAACTACAGGGTCATTTTGACTGTGACTTGTATTGGCAGTGGCATCTGGAAGTCATTCAAAGTCTTTTGTAAACCGATATCACTCTCTGACTATTACTCCAATCATTTTAGTTTACAGACGTTACTTTATTGCAGGAAGAAAAACCTCTGCTGGTAAAGCAAAGCTGAAGATCATCAGAACGACCTTCTCACAAAAATTAACGTTCTTCATTATTGTGCAGACAGTACTTTCTTGGAGGTGTTCTACCCCTAAAAGGCTAGCTTTTGTTCTCTCTGTTCCTACACAATACAGGCCTTTCTGGCCTTTACACTCAGGCAACAAAATGTGATGACACGGGTTACAAACCATTTATTTCAGGTCTTGTCATTTTGGTTGCATCTATGATTTTATTGAGACTAAATTCTCTTGACTTGCACTGACCCAGAATCTAATTTTATACACAAGCCCATGAATTCTTAACTGTCCCTTTTTCTGACACTATTTGATGCTTGTGTGGGTTTTTACATCCATTTATTTAATT